TAGAGCAAATGACTAATTCAAACTCATATGCTTTATGGGAATTCAACTAACTCTCTTTAATCTCATTCTCATTAAAAAATTCCCCTGTGGGCATTTTGTTCCTTCTGGGTACATTTTGTTCTTAAATGTACCATGGTAGAAAGACTAGAATCAAAATATTATTATGGGAATTAGGCTGGCATCATTCTTAGTTTATTTCCCTTTGACTCTGAAATGCACTCTGAAATGTCCCTCAACTTGGTAAGTATTGAAATTCATGGTTGTCGTTTGTTAAAAAGGAAAACAAATGCATAATTGAAATAAAACTTAATGCTAGGTAGAGATATTCAAAGATGAACGACTAGGCAGATAAACTAAGCAATACCTTTACAACAAAGACCAAAGAAGCAAAGTGAAACAAATACAGGTGACACTTCTGCAACCCAGAGTTTCGAAGGAGAAGATACAGAAGTAGGATCAGTTATGAATTAGAGGAAGAAACTGAATGAAAAGAGCAATCAAGCGGCCATACGGTAAGGTGAATCCCTACTTGTTAATTTATTCATTATTTTACTTCTCAGACAAAACTAATCACCCTTGAGAAACTAAATAATGATTGACTGATTTGATTTTAGCTACCAGAATCATGTTGTAGAGTACAAAAAAAAAAACATTTAAAAATGTAGTCTATTGGAGTTCTGGTGTGGTGCTGTGGGCTGATGCATCAGACAGCAAAGTCGTTTGAACTGCAAAGTCAATGGTTCAAGCTCACCAGCTGCTCCTTGGAAACCCTACACAGGGTTGCTCCAGGTTGGAATCAACTCAACAGCACTTAACAACAACAACAACATTGACCAGAAACACAATCATGACATGAAATATTATTAAAAATGAAGTGTTCATAACCCACTCAAGACCTACTTAAATATGCATTTTAAAAAGACCTTTAAATGTTTTGTTTTGTTTTTCAGATTGATCTGAAAAACAGGGAACTGGAGATTAAAGAAAAACAAGAAAAAGCTGTCATAAAAGGCATGTTAACATACAATTATCTGTTATAGGATATAATGACTATTACCATTATTTCATTTTGTCTTTCTGGAATTAGACATAAAGATATTCCTCACAAGCATATTTCATTTTAATACAACTATGTCTTATGACATTGTGTGTGTACTAAGTGAACTGTCTCTACCATTCCTAAAAGGTCTGTGGAAAATACTTAATTTATCCTTAAGCTAGAATCCCTCATTTCATACCTATTTAGTAGCAGTAGAGTCCCCCAAAATGTTTCACACAGAAAAAGTGGACACTAGGCAAGAATTCCATCAAGCGCTTCTCTACCACCTACCAACTGCTTTCTGGTTTTAGTGGAATTGATAATCTTCATCCTTTTAAGGGTTAATTTATTTGAATTCTCATTATTTTATAATATACTACTTTATTAAGGAATCCTGGTATAGTGCTGTAGGATAAGCACCAGATCTTAAGGTCAGTTTGAACCACAAAGTGGGTGGTTCAAACTTGCTAGTCACTCCTCAGAAACCCTATACAGAGTCGCTATGCGTCACAACCAACTTGATGGCACTTAACAACAACTTTATCAAAAAACTTTCTATAGAAATTCATATTTCTTACATCTCTATTTCCAAACTCTCCTAGCCTATCATATATTTGACATAGCTTATAAACATATATATTTTTTTCTCATTTTGTGAAATATTTTTCATCTCTCCTATAGTTCCCTTTAGACACGGATTATTTCTTTTGTTGCCTTCACTGCCAACATTGGAAATAATGTGACTTGTGCCTCCAATATTAATTTTTCTTTTGTTGCTTAGATTGCTGTTCAGTTCTTTTATCAATGGATTTTCATTCTTTATCGAGGGTCACTCACATAGCTACATTTGATTCTTCTGTTCTTATCAGCCTTGGACTTTCAAGCAATTTGAAATTTTTACAATAATTGTCAAACATTCTGCTGATTTTTTATCCTTCCTAAAACGTTGTCTACTCTCATCTTGCTTTAAATGTATATTTTATTGTTTGTTGTTAAATACAATAGCAATGGTTCGAACTCCTAGCATCTCTGCAAGGCATTTCCAAGGCTGTAAATCTTTGCAGGAACATAAAGCCTCATGTTTCTCCCACTGAGCAGCTGGTAGTTTCGGACAGCTGACCTTTCAGTTCATAGTCCCGTGTTTATCCTACAGAGTCATGCACTGCCTTCATGTATATACCCTTTTTAAAAACTTATCTTGAGTTCTACCTTCACTGCATTTTACTTGAAAAGTCTCTCCGAGATTGTTCACCCACTCTATTTGATTAAAATAACACTCATACAATAATAGCTCCCAAATCAACATCCCCAGAAAAAAGCACACAACAACATAGACACTTTATGGATATCTTTATGTCTTCCTTTTTTAAAAAATGTCCTTGTTTTTCTTGTTTGTTTGTTGAAAATATATAGTCATAAACAATTTCAATGTGTACAACTCAATGGCATTGATTATATTCTTTAAGTTATGCAAGCATTCTTGACATCCTTTTCCAAATTGTTTCAGTATCATTGAATTAATTTCATCGTTTCCTAAGATTCTCATCTAATGTTTAAGTTGCTACGAGTCCTATTTTTTTGTATACAAGTGACTACATTGTAACTACATTGCTTTGATTTTTTTGTCAAAAGACAAAATGTCCTGGGAACCCTAAGAAAATAAATAGTGACATTTATCCAAAGCCTGGAAATTTCTCTATTTGAGGGGGCTTCAAAAAGTTCATTAAAAAAAATCCATTTCCATTTAATTCCATTTTCCACAGAATTTTTTGAAAGTGCTTTCACATATCTACAAATAAATCCCGTGGTTGTTAAGTGCCATGGAGTCCTTTCTAACTCATAGAGACCCTATGGAGGGTTTCAAAGGAGCAGCTGGTGAGGTTTGAACCACTGACCCTTTGGTTAGCAGTCCAGTGCTTATCTTACAATGCTACTCCAGGAGTCCTAAATATATACTGGATGATGTCAACTTTGTGAAACCATATATAGGATTGCTATGAGTCAGAGCTATGACAAAAGTCAGTGCCAGGTGACTTGGAAGAAAATTGGTTTTCCATCCAACCATCCATGCACATTTTGTTTCGTACATTGATTGCAATCCCCACAATGTAACAGTGCTCATCTCACTTCATTCTTGTGTTTATCATTTCGCTTCATCCTTCTCCCCTATATCTTCTTGCCTTCTGGACAAATACTGTTCTTTTTATCTCCTATGATTGATTATTCCAAAACTTTTATACCTCCTTGATATTATTGTTCACTTTATAGACGTGTCTATTGTTTAACTGATAGCTGAATTATTGAGATGACTTCAGTTCCAGGACTGGTTGGTGTCTAAGGTCAGAGGTTGGATCAGAATCAGTTCTGATGAATACAGCTGATCTTTTTGAGTTCAATGCATTTTTCTCCTACTCTATCTAGGACCTCTTATTGTGATCCATTTCAGAGTGATCAGCATGGTAGCAGGGCACCATCTGGTTCTTTTGAATCAAAGTTGTTAATGTTGGGGTCATGTGGTCCATTACTCCATTGCACTATTTGTTTCTTTGTTTCTGTGGTTTTCTTCATACTTCCTTGCTCTGAATAAGAAGTAATCAATAGATGTACCTTTCATGGCTTCTCACAAGCTTTTAAGACCCCAGTCCCTACTCACTAAAGTAAGATGTGTTGTTGTTGTTGTTGTTGTTTAGTGCCATCGAGTAGGTTCCAACTCATAGCAACCCTGTATAGGGTATCTGAGGAGCAACTGGTGAGTTTAAACTGCCAACCTTGCAGTTCACACTGACCTTGCAGTCCAGCGTATTAACCCATTGTACCACATTGTTTTTGTGAACTATGGTAAGCATGGATCACATTTTACTTTTTTGTGTGTGAATTTAGTGAAAGTTTATAGACAAAATCATCAGTTTTACATTTAGCAAATCATAAACTTTGTTTCATCTCAATGATTGCAGTGCCCTCCATCCCATTTCCCCGCTGTGGCTCCTATTTCCATTCCACCCACCTTCCCACCCCTTTGCAACTTTAGGTAAATGTTGTAGGTAAATTTGGTAGGTAAATGTTGTAGGTAAATTTGGTAGGTAAATGTTGTAGGTAAATTTGGTAGGTAAATGTTGTAGGTATTTTTGGTAGGTAAATGTTGCCCTTTCCATTTTGAATGATTTCTATGGTGAGCTTACTTTCCTAGTGTCGTTGTTCTCCCTACATACCTATCTACTGCTTGGCTTAAAATAGACTCACAAGGGTGAGTCTTTTCTGGATCTGAAGGGTGGTTGAATGTCATAATTGAGGGTTACATCAGACCCTTTTTAACTAGTAAACCCAATCATTTTTTAAATAATTTTGAGTTTTGTTCCACATTTTCTGCCATTCTATCTGGGACCTTCTGTTGTGATGTTTTCAGTTTGTAGGGATAGCCATACACCATCTAGTTCTTTTGGTCTTGGAGTTATGTAGACTGATGTTCATATGTTCCTTTAGTCTATTAGATTAATTGATTCCAAGTATCTCCAGTTCTCATCACTCTTCTTTCTTCCGCACATGAAGACACCAATAATTGTACCTTAGGTGGCCACTCATGAGCATTTAAGATCCTAGACACTTCACAACAAAGTAGAATGGCTTCTTTAGCTAAGTTTCCCCTAGTCATTTCTTATATGAGATATTCAGAATTTTATGAACTTTTTTTAACTACTCACTGAATTTTCAGATATCATTGATGATCATAAAATTTAATTAAAAATTTAGAAACTAAAAATATAAAAAAATAATTTGCTAAATTATCCTTTATATAAAAGATAAATTAAAATTGAAGTTGGATTTCTAGTTTTTTCAATGATAGAGAACTAATTTTTTATCTGGCATGCCCCTCCTTACCATAGTAAAAAACAAGATTATTTAGACATTTTTTAATAATAACTTAACTTATGATTTCTATAGGGTGTGAACATTCGACATAAAAATGCTACAGCTCCAGGATAAAATGCAGATTCTAAGCAACTTGACTATTCAATTTCCAAGCTTCTTGCTGATTGGTATTCCTGGTCTAGAGTCTGTACAGGCCTGGCTCTCCATCCCATTCTGTTGTCTCTACGCTTCTGCTCTCTTGGGGAACAGCATGATCCTGTTTATCATCAGCAGCCAGAAGAGTCTCCATGAGCCCATGTACTATTTCCTCTCTATGCTGTCAGCTACTGATCTGGGATTGATTGTTTCTACAATGTCAACAACACTACCTATCCTGTGGTTTGATGCAAAGAAAATCAGTTTGGATGCCTGCATCATCCAGATGTTTTTTCTTCATGGATTCGCCCTCATGGAAACAGGGGTGCTTGTGGCTATGGCCTTTGACCGCTATGTGGCAATTTGTAACCCTCTGAGGTACACTAGCATCCTCACTAATTCTCGAATCATTCAGATGGGTCTCTTGATGGTTATACGTACTGCAGTAATAATGGTACCACTGCTTTTGCTTCTTAAACCTCTCTCTTTCTGTAGAGGTAATGCCCTTTCCCACTCCTACTGTTACCATCCAGATGTGATTAAATTAGCTTGTTCAGATACTCGGATCAATAATATCTATGGATTATTTGGGCTCATCCTGTCCACGGGGATCGATACACCATGCATTATCTTGTCTTACATCATGATTATTCGCTCTGTCTTGAGTATCGCCTCCCCTGAAGAGCGACATAAGGCCTTTAGCACCTGTTTCTCCCACATTGGAGCAGTTGCCATTTTCTATATCCCTTTTGTGAGTCTGTCCCTAGTGCACCGCTATGGTCGGTCAGTCCCTAGAATGGTCCATTCTATGATGGCCAATGTATACCTGCTTCTTCCCCCTGTGCTCAACCCCATTATCTACAGTGTCAGAACCAAACAAATCCACAGGGCTATACTCAATCTGCTGCTGAAAAAATAAACAGTTTAAGTTAACTATTAATTATGCAATGACGGACATGTAAATGTCAGTAAAAGCAACAAAAAAAGTCAGACCCATACCAACCAGAGGGCCTCAAAGCAAGCAAACAAAAAAGCCAGACGAAAAACCCACATAGCAACCTGATAATAACAAACAACGGACAAAACAGAGAAAAAATCAAGAGCACCAGAAAATAAGCAAAAAAAAACCAAACAAACACTCCAAACCGACAAAAAAAACCCAAAATCAAAACATAAAAAAAAACTGAGAGCGAATCGCCAGAACACAGACCAGCAGAAAGAACACAAACACGCCATAAATCAACAAAAAAACCAGAATGCAAAAACAAAACAAAAAACAAAAGAAAATAGAAAAAAAAACCAGTAACTAATAGTACAAAAAAAAAAAACGAATCAAAGAAACAAAAGAAAGAACAGAAAAACAAACACTCAAATCAAAAGAAAAAAAGAGAAAAAAAAATACAGACACAAGTCACAAAAAAAAAGAAACCCAGGCAAACAAAAAAACATGAAGAAAAAAAGTCCAAATGAACAAATGAAACGAAACAAAGAAAAAAACTAAAAAAGATACCAAAAAAAAAAACAAAGAAACAAAACAGTCAAAGAATACACAAACCGAACAACAAAAAAAAAAAAATGAACCTCTGAAACAATACACTCACATAATAACTAAACCTAAACCAAAAAATAAACACCAAAAACTCAAAAGAGAATAATAAAACAATTGAACTAGAAAAAAAATCTACAGACTGAGCAAAACAATCACTCAACAAATAGAGGGTGTCAGAGGAAAAGCCCATTAAGTCAAACCCCACCCATCGCGACCCCGTACACGACAAAAAAACAACAAAACCCTTACAGGAGCAGAAAGAAGCACCGCCAACCCACAGAGGACCCAGGAGGTTCGAACTAAGGACCGTAAAGTCAGCACCCACACACAGAAACACTACACAACCAGACCGACAGAAAAAAGATCAACATGAAACAAAAACCACACAGTTCAAACGGCTTTTATAAGGTTTTTAAGGCTGTACATCTTTTTAGAATAGAAAGCCTCATTTTTATCTCATGGAGCAGCTACTAGGCTTGAATCACCTGCCTTGTGGTTCCCAGTCTAGTGCTTATCATACAGAGCTCTGTTGAGGTAGGAAGAACTCAGGAAAACACAAAGAATGTAACCAATATCACTAAAAAGTACGTGTATAAACAATTGAATTGGTGTTTATTTTGCTGTGTATGTATTCAGCAAGGTATGTATTCAACAAGTGTGAATTAAATTAAATAAAATACCGTAAAAATGCTCCGTGACTCCTTTATTCAGCCCTGACCAGGGTAAAGAATTTTATGATTCTTAGCGTGTAAGAAGTTTTCTGGGATAAAACTTCCTATATGATTGGCTCCTTAATATTCCTACACCATAAGGAATTACAAACACAACAAATGAGAGTTTTTCCTGCCAGAGATTGGATTTACCAGCACACCACTGACTGAGTACAACTAGTCATATATGAAGGAGATGAAATTTGGAAAACCAAAACAATATATCCAATTGTACACAAGGGGATCACAATTTACTAGTTAAATGGCACATGGGCAAAAAAAATTACAAATAATGTCTCAAGCATTGTGATAGCTAATATGCAGGAAGTAGAATTGTGCTCCTGTTTGCTTTGACATGAGTTGAAAAGGCAGCAGGGAGAAAAAGAGTAATTTGTAAGTAGCACTTTGAAAGAACGTTAAAGGTTATCCTGTAAGAATTTTACTTTCTGAGGAATAATTCTCCTGAATTTTAAATTCATAGATTTTATCTGGACATACTAATGGAAAATATGAAATCACGAAACATCTCTCTTTTTTTTCCCTTTGTTTTTTCTATCTATAGCTTCTACCAGTGAATTTACATTACATGATTTACACTTGTTACATAAAAGTCATTTTCTATTTGAATGGTGCTAGTATATACAAATTACTTGTTGATTTCTATATATAATTTGGTTATGCTTCTTGAAATTTATATGTGGGGATTCGTATTCTAGTAATTCTACATTCCTGTTAACTGCTTGAATCTTTGCACAGGCAGAACACAAAAGGAGATTAATGTTGACAACTTTGAATGTGAGAAATTAAAAGGGTTGCAGCATAATAGAGAAGTTTACTGTAAGCTGAATCCACTGAATAAATTATTCAACATATATGAGTGAAACTATTCTAGACAGTGCTGAGTCAGAAAACAAGGCGGGAAAACTGAAACATTCTTGGACATATTTAAAGAACATTACAGTAAAGTACAAATTGAATGTCTATTATTGTCTGTGAGTTTGTTGTACTCTCGATGCATATGTGTTGCTGTGATGCTGGAAGCTATTTCACCAGTATTTCAAATATCAGCAATGTTACCCATGGTGGAAAAGTTTGGACAGAGCCTCCAGACTAGGACAGATTAGAAAGACAAAAAAAAAAAAAAAAATTGGCAACTGATTTCTAAAAAAATTGAACAGTGAAAACCTTATGAATAGCAGAATAACTTCTCCTGATCTAATCTCTGAAGATGAGGCAGGTTGAAAGACTTTCAAAACACAAATAAAGTCTATGTCATTAAGTTTGAGTGAACACAGTCGATCTTAGTGACATAGACTTTATTTGCTGATGTGGAACAACTCAAAATGAGAAGAAACTATGAAAAACATGCATAAAGTCTTGAAGCACGGCAAGTACAAAGTATGAGTGTAGGTAAACTGAGAGTCCACAAAAATAAAAACAGACAAGTAAAGGTTGATATCCTAAACATTAATGGCTGAAATGAACTAGTATTGACCATTTAAATTCACTTTATCATATGGTCTACTGTGCCAGAAATGATAAATTGAAGATGAATGGCATCATACACATTGTGAAAAAGGACATCTCAAAATCTATACTGAGGTGCAATGTTGTCAGTGATAGGCTAATGCCTACATACCTACAAGTAAGAACAGTTAACACAACTATTATTCAATTGCACACCAACCACTAATCCAAAGTTGAAGCAAATGAAGACTTTTACCAATGTCTCCTGTCTGAAAAAATCAGACATTTAATCAAGATGCATTGAAAATTAGTGGTGATTGAAATTTGAAATATGGAAACAAAAAAGCATCCATAGTTGGAAAATAAGGTCTTGGTAGAATTTGGCAAGACCAATGATCTATTTATTATCATTACCTTTTGCCACCAACACAATTGTTGTCTAACACATGAATCTCACTAGATGGAATACACAGGTATCAAAATGATTACATCTGGAAAAAGATAATGAAGAAGCTTAGCATCATCATACAAAACAAGGCCAAGAGCCAGTTGGTCGTATGCAAGTATATCCCTTAAGAATTTAGAGAGCTCAAGAAAAGATTTAACAAATTGATCAAAGAACTGATGAGTTGTAGGTGGACACCAAGGATCCTACAAGGATCGACTACTACTTCCATAAGCATTGACAGGACATCTGCCATACTTTCATTTAGGACATTTCCTACTGCATTGACTTAAGGACCTGGCTAGATACCTTTCCATTTCCCAGGACTATTCTTTTTTTTATGAATTGAGTGAAAGTTTACAGGGCTGATCATCAGTTTTACATTGAACAAATCAGATACTTGGTTTCATTACAATGATTATAATCTCCTCCAAGGATCATCAATTAACAGTATTTCTCTCTATCCATTTTAGCTCTTTTTTTTTTTTTTTTTAACTCTCAGGCACGTATAATAATTTAAACCACCAAAGGGCACATTCTGCAACCCTTTTCCTGGCCACCAGCTCTCAGTCCCTCTTATTCCATGAATTTAGAGTCCTTAGCTGCTCCCTCTCTCCATGTCCCCATCTCTGCCTCCATCTCTGGTGTAGATGCTTCTCTGGATAAGGTCCCACATTCTGCTTGATGATCCTAGAGTCCTCTGTTTCTGGATTGTAAGATTAACTATTCCTCTGCTTTTGTTATAAAACTTCTACCTTTACAATTGTGACAGTCACAATTAGTCATGATAAAAATTACTTACTATTGAATCATAATAATTGTATCCCCATCTCTTTTCACCAGACTCATCTAGACAAGATGAAAACTATTCAGTGAAAACTCTGTCTTTTCCTGCCCACTTTTAAATTATACTCCCTCTTGAAAACTTATAAGCCAGTCACTTTGCGCCTTTATCACCCCCTCATTTTAGGTAGCCAATGTTTAAGTTGTCCATCCCTAGCTACCCTGTATACAGAGGAGATAACATTGATACTTAATGTGAAGACTCCTTCCATCTCTGTTGGTATTTTGAACTACTACATCCATGAGTATAGGTCAAGTCCATCAAGTTGTAGCAATTTACCCTCTTTTCCTTTATCAAAAATTGTTTGTTTTTGTTATCTTCCTCTAGTCAAATTCTGATTATCAAGCCATCAAGGCTAGGTCAAATGGGTACTAGCTGCAAATTTAGGTGTTCTTGTGCATCTCTCCTCACTTTGTATCAGCTGGATGCTTTACTCTCAGACTTAGCCCTCTGTGACTATGTCCTTGTCCATGGGCTCAGGTGTCCCCAGGTCTCACCACACTTTGGACCAACCAGCCCTTCCTCTTCTCTCTCTCATCTCCAAGTTAATGGTAGTCTATGGAACATGGTTGAACTCAGCCCATTTCTTCATTGCTGATTTTCTCCCTCTTCCACTCACCAGTAAGCCAATATGGTCACCAACAAGCTTACATGACTACTCAAGTGTTCCCTTTGAGTTTCAGTCTTAGAGGAGGGTTTGTCCTGAAGGGACTTAATTGCTTGCATTGATGGCTTCCCCGAAAACAAGTTGCTTATTCTTATAGTAGCCAATCCTACTGCTGTTTTTGTTTTGGATTTTTCCTGCTGATCTTTCTTTAAAGATGTATTTTCTGTCACTCTAGCTGTTCCAGCCTGGTCTTCTTGTCCTTTCTAGTGGGAATGTCTCACCTCAGAAGGTTCTGGA